TTCATACAAAAAATTATTTAAAATTTTTATTTAGAAGTATTTCATTAGCAAAAATTATTTTTTATACTAATTTTCAATTAACGAATTCTCATTATATAGTCATTTAATTGACATGACTTTTTATTCAAGAAAATTTTAATTTAATAAAAATTTTACTTAACAAAATTCTCATTCCATATTTTTTTCCCAAAAAAATTAAAATCTAAGACCCTTTTTGGCGATTTACTGATTTTCACCACTATAGGGGTGAGACCGAGAGTTCTCAATTATTAGGTTTTCAAGGGGAAGTAAAAAGAAAATTTTTTGCCTACTTTTTTCCGAAAAAATTACAATCTACGACCCGTTTTTGTCGATTTTCTAATTTTCACCACTATAGGGTTGGCAAATAGGGGTGAGACCGAGAGTTCTCAACTATTAGGTTTTCAAGATGAAGTAAAAAGAAAATTTTTTGCCTACTTTTTTCCCAAAAAAATTACAATCTACGACCCGTTTTTAGCCATTTTCTGATTTTCACCACTATAGGGGTGGCAAATAGGGGTGAGACCGAGAGTTTTCAACTATTGGGTTTTGAGGGGGAAGGAAAAAGAAAATTTTTTGCCTACTTTTTTCCGAAAAAAATTACAATCTACGACCCGTTTTTGGCGATTTTCTGATTTTCACCACTATAGGGGTGGCAAATAGGGGTGAGACCGAGAGTTTTCAACTATTGGGTTTTGAGGGGGAAGAAAAAAGAAAATTTTTTGCCTACTTTTTTCCGAAAAAAATTACAATCTACGACCCGTTTTTGGCGATTTTCTAATTTTCACCACTATAGGGGTGGCAAATAGGGGTGAGACCGAGAGTTCTCAACTATTGGGTTTTCAAGGGGAAGGAAAAAGAAAATTTTTTGCCCACTTTTTACCCAAAAAAATTACAATCTACGACCCGTTTTTGGCGATTTTCTAATTTTCACCACTATAGGGGTGGCAAATAGGGGTGAGACCGAGAGTTCTCAACTATTGGGTTTTTAAGGGGAAGGAAAAAGAAAATTTTTCGCCTACTTTTTACCCAAAAAAATTACAATCTAAGACCCGTTTTTGGCCATTTTCTGATTTTCACCACTATAGGGGTGGCAAATAGGGGTGAGACCGAGAGTTCGCAACTATGGGGTTTTCAAGGGGAAGGAAAAAGAAAATTTTTTGCCTACTTTTTACCCAAAAAAATTACAATCTAAGACCCGTTTTTGGCCATTTTTTGATTTTCACCACTATAGGGGTGGCAAATAGGGGTGAGACCGAGAGTTTTCAACTATTGGGTTTTGAGGGGGAAGAAAAAAGAAAATTTTTCGCCTACTTTTTACCCAAAAAAATTACAATCTAAGACCCGTTTTTGGCCATTTTCTGATTTTCACCACTATAGGGGTGGCAAATAGGGGTGAGACCGAGAGTTCGCAACTATGGGGTTTTCAAGGGGAAGGAAAAAGAAAATTTTTTGCCTACTTTTTTCCCAAAAAAATTACAATCTAAGACTCGATTTTGTTCTTTTAATTCTGTGAACAACTCTAATTTGAAAGTAGGGGTTGTTTTGCACCCTTAATTATTAAATTTTTAGTTTTTTATGTTGAATATTGTTGTATTTTGGTTGTCTGAGAACCATTAGCAAGAAATTATTTTTTTTTGTCAAAATTTTTTTTCGCGCGAACGCGCGTGCCGAACTTTAGGCTCATACACAAGGATCACTGATAATGAAATACTCTTGAAATCTAAATATTATATAGTTTTCACTAATATTCAAATTAGTATAGATAAGAATTTTCATTTAATTAAAAAAAATTTTTTTTCACTTCAAAATGTCAACGAAAAATTTTTAATTATTATTATCATTTTTACATATTATATGTATTTCAAATACTATATAGAACCAAAGCTTTTTAATTTGATGAATTTTTATTGCTTCACCAAAAATATGAACGACCATGAAAAATAATTATTTCAATCCTTGAGAGAAGAAATAATATATAAAGTTCATTTTGTCTGACCTAAATGACAATTACTACTTAAAAATTTTATATTATCGTCATCTGATGAAATTAAATTAATAATGAAATTGAAAAGACTCCAATCTAAAAGAAGTGAATAATTTTATTGAAAATTTTAATTTTATATTTATGATCAAAAATAATTAGTATGATTAATTGTTAGTATTATAGATATTTTAGAATTATATTTTAAACATCAATACTCAAAAACTTATATAGAATGTAGGTACTTCATTTTCACTCTATCACTAATTAATAAAAATTTTCATTTACATAATTCAATTTTAATATTCTCTAGCCTAGTTTCTTTTGAATTGAAATTTTAAGAAATAATAATTGAGAAATATAACAATTAAAATGTTTAATTATAAAAGAACACATTTACTATTGTTCTCATTTTTCTTTATGTTACTATTTCTATATTATTATATAATTATTGTTGTAATAATTATTATTATTTTACTATTATTATTATTTAAAAAACTGTATTACTAAAGTCTCGGAAACCAAATATTTAAAAAAATAAAAATTTTTTTTTAAAATAAGAATAATATATGATATAATATGACTCTGAGGGAATAAAATAATTTTCTCTTTGATATATTTGTTATTTGTGGAGAAAAATATAAAAAGCAAAGTTGTCAACAATTGTGAATATCTACAAATATATTTCTGATTTTCATGATATTTCTGAAAGCCATACACATTTTATAGACAAACCAATGAGAAAATTTCCCAATGGAATAAGTTGAATTTCCAGTTGTCATTAAATTTCTTTTTAAACTTCCACATGTTTCAAATACTTTTAACGAACTTTACACATTTGATAGGATATATGTATATATATAACATCATAGTTTTCAACAGTGTAAGTGTCAATTATAAAAAATTATCAATATTAAATATTAGATACCAATATTCGCATATAAAAATATAAAAAAAAATTATTATTATTTTATTACAAAAGTTTTCAATTAAAATAAATTAATATTATTAATAAAATTTTCGAAAAATTTTAATTATATTAAAATTGATAATAAATAAAAAATAATTTTGACAAATGAATAAATTATAACGGTCACTTACTTCATAAATCTATATATAAAATAAATTATGTTAAATAATAAAAATAATTAATAGAAATGCAATTATGTTACATAAAAATATATTAAAATGATTAATTATAGAAATATAAATAAAAAAAAAAACTATATACCTATCTGAGTAATATCACTAATATTCATATCAAAATTAGAATAAAGTATAATCAAACTTGTGTTTTAATTTTTGAAAGAAAACATCATTAGATCAAATGTTTCAATTACACTTTTAATCTTCAATCTAACATTTTTTATATTACCTCATTTTATATTTTTCTCATTAGAAATTTGTCAACTGAAAGCAATTAGGAAGAAAAACAACTTTTTTTTACATTTTTGTTGATAATATCAAGGAAGAAAGTAGAATTTTTTTTTTATTTTGATAAATATGATAAATAAAAAAAAGAAACACGATTTTAATTCAAATAATAGTAAAAAAATTAAGATCAAAATTATGATTCATGTTAGTACATACATAAATATATGAATATGCTTTTCGTAAAATGAGAAAATATCAAATGATATATATATATAATTCGTATAAAAATGAGGTCAAAGGATAAATTAGATAAACCAAAATTAGGGAGATAAATGAAAATATCGAATATGGTGATTCAACTGAATGGAAATTAGAATGAATTGAATTTGGAAACAGTGCTTCGCCTAAAATAGAACTCGAAAGAATTGAGAGAGAAAAGTGGGGGGGGGGGGAGAGAGACGGATCAAATAATGAATAAGAAGCGGGAAATCTTTACTTTGAGAGACAATTTATATTTATGAAAATTTTCTTTAAGAAAAGAATTAAGTAATTGTAATTTCGTTCATTTCAACGTTTAGAACTTCAGGCACATTAAAAAAAAAAAATGTCATGTTCTTTCAATATAATAAAAAAAAATATATATTTTCATATTTCATAAATACTCAAACTTTGTCTGATCTAAATGTCAATTACTACTGTATGTAATAATTGACGAATTCAAGGTTAGATTTTCAAAATTAAAAATGACGGATCCAATATGGCAAATATGGCAAATTTTTGGGGTCGATGATTACGAATTTTCTAAAAGTTTTTCAAAATTCGAAAGGGCGCACAGTTATTTTATTTTAATTTGACTTTAAATTTGCAATGGATGACTTAAAAACATCCAACTAAAGTAGAGAAAATTTCAAAGGAAATTTAATTGATTTTTGAAATTGCATCTTTTTTGAAAATATGAATATCTGATCTTAGATTCATAATCAGCAACCACAAAAACTCACGAGTAACAATTTTCAATCTAATACATAATGAAATCTAAAAGTTTTATCCGCCATTTTGGATCCACCATTTTGAAATTAAAAAACTGACAAATCCGGTAAATTTTTTAAAAAAAGTGTCCACCATATTGCATCTGCCATTTTGGATTTCACAAATGGACCAATGATTAAAAAAAAACTTTTGAAGATTTTATTGAGTGTCGAATATTGCGAAAAACGGCATTTTTCACGCTTTTAGGTTAGAATATCTCAAAATTCTGACGTGATGGAGTAATTTCGTTGTCATTTTTGGATTCTGTTTGACAAATTACATTGGAAATGACTATTTTGGTTTCTGGGTCTGAAATTTGTAGGCCTCTCTGTGTTATTAAATAGAAAAACTAATGATATAGCTCGGGTGGTGAAGCGCCTTGGCTTGCGGTCACAGAGGTTAAGCACATCTTAATACGTTTAGTATTTGGATGGGTGACCGCCTTATAACTCGCTATATAGAAGGAGGAAAATGGGATGAAAAAGAGATTGAGTAAATGGGCTAATAATAATATTTGTAGGTTAGGTTTAGAAGGAAGGGTAAATAAATTGAATAGAAATATATATATATAATAAATATTAAAATAAAAACTGACCTTTGAGTACAACCCCGCACTGGAGAGTTCGTTTTCGATGACCATGACAACAATTCCGAACATTCCCATGACAAGGGCATAATCACTAATGCGTTTTCGCTTCTCGAAGAGTGCCTTTCGACGGCCGAGACGATAGCCGACGTTAGGTTTGTGCTTCGAGGCAGTACCAATGCTACCGTGGCCCTTTATCGAACCACCACCGAGGCCTCGATCCTCCATATAACGTGGATATTCCGAATGAACACCAACGAGAGCGATCGCGGCCTCTTCACCTCCAGCACCGCCAATTCCACCGCTTCCGCCACTCCCGGTACCCCCGGGCCCTGCGGCCATTCCGCCACAGTTTTTCATCGCCCCGGGAATCGAGAGAGTGGATACTGGCTTCCGCAGCTGTAACATCAATCAAACACTTATTTACTCATCTTATTTTCATCCCTATCCTTATATATTTATATATAAATTAAGCTAATTCAATAACAAACAGAAAAAAAATGAAAAAAAAAAACTACAGGTTTCATTATAGGCAATCATAAGGCAACAGGCAAATTATTTGGCTAATTTTTTCCTTTTCTCTACCGCAAGGCTTTTCTTTTCACTGATGGTATAATATATTCTATCGGAACTGATATAGACGGAATTATCTTATTTTTAACTTAATTAACAAGGGATTTTTTGTGCTACATCATAAACACATGGACGAAAACTTATGTACAATATTTTTTTTTTTTTAAACAATTGTTGCATTCAGGAACCATTTTTAACACTGTAAAAAATTGATTATTATTAATTTTTTAACTCGTGCATAATTTCATTACAAGGCTAATTGTATATATTTTAATTTTTTTTTTTCTAATTAAATTAACTATTACTCTAAAAAGAGTTGAATATCACTGTATAAGCATGAAACGAAAGTTAATTTTCACTGAATTAATAAATAAATGTCACTAAAAGCATAAAGCAAGAGTTTATTTTTTTACTCTAACAAGAGTAAAAATATAGCCATAATAATATAACAAATATAGCTCAATAATAGTAGTAAATTTTACATTCATTTAACTTTTACTATAATGAGAGTGATATGTTACTCAAAGCACATGGAAAAAAAATTTACCTAGAATAACAAAATATTTCACTAGAATAGCAAAATTTTTAATTGGTTCAATTAAATCTTTCACTATTCTAATAAAATCTTTCGCTTTTCTAAATGAAGTTTTTTCCATACTCAGAGAAACGATTGGTTGCGATTACCATTTCGTTAGTAAGAGTATTTTTGATAATTTATATTAGTTACTGTTACCATTTAGTTAGTCTAACCATTTAGTTAGTAAGGTAACTAATTAAATAGTTATTCCAACAAACTAATTAGTTAAACCAACTAATAAAATAGTTACGCCAACCATAAAAATAATAACCACAACTAATAAATTAGCAGCAGTATAGTTACCATTTTTACTTAGAAAACTATACTGCTGCTAATTTAATAGTTGTGGTTACTATTTTTATTCGTTGGCTTAACTATTTTTTTAGTTGGTATAACTACATAATTAGTTTCTTGGAATAACTATTTAATTAGTTACCTTACTAACGAAATGGTTAGGCTGACTAACTAAATGGTAACAGTAACTAATATAAATTAGAAAAATTACTCTTAACTAACGAAATGGTAATCGCAAACAATCGTTTCTCTCATTGCATTATTAAGAGAAATTTAATGTTCACTCTATACCAAGAGTAAAATTTTCTCTTCCAGTGCTCTCTAAATCTGAATTAGTAGAAAACTACTGATTAGCAGTCAAAATCTGGCTTAATTCTCGCTACATTAATTAGTAAAAATTAACTATAATTGACAGTAAGAAATAACTGAAATATTATAAATTCCACTAATTATCAGTAGAAAACGTTACTGAAACAATAATGAAACGAAATATTTCAGTTATTTTCAAACATAACCTCAAATTATTTAACTGTCAATTAGTTATTTTAACTGATATTTCAGTAGAATTTAACTATTTTCAATTAGTTGCTCAATTCTCGCTATTGAATTAGTAGTTTTCTATACTAATTCAAATTTAGAAAGTGACTATCCAAAATTCTTTTCTGTTCTGTTTTTTAAATTTTCAAATTTTTTTTTCTCTAGAAAAAAAAATTTGAATTCTCAATTATAATTATATTCAATAAATCAAATGAACCGCTTTACTCTATATAATTTTTGTAATCAATTTTTTTCAGTGATATTGAATATTTACAATTTTATTAGGATAAATTTCAACTTTTTGTGTTCATATATAATTTTAAAATTTGCTTTACAACAGAAATACTTATATTACTTTATATATTATATAATTTTAAATCAAATTCTTATCCTATTTGTATAATAAACACTGTATTTGTGTTATTTTGTGGCAAAATGTCTCTCTTTGAATTTATTGGCATAAAGAAATTTTTCAGAATATCCAATATTTTTTCTCATAAAATAATCATCTTTCTATTACCTCAAATATTTTTGAATATAAAATTGAAAAAATATACACATTAAGGAAAATATAAAAGTAAATTTGTTCAAAAATTCTTGAGAGAAACTAGAAAGAAAATTCTCTTGTAAAATTTTGCCCTTTTTTCGCAAAATCTTTTGAAAGGGAAAAAAAATTTCTAACAGTTTTAAATTTAGTTTTTTTTTAGTTTAAGTATTACGCAAGCAGATTTTTGACGCCCCCTACCCTCCTGAGTTTTAAATTTTTCTAATTTTGACCACTCTCTAAATTTGAATCAGCGAAATCTCGCTGATTCTCAGCTATAAGTATACCACTGATTCCAATCAGCGTATATGCACACAGTTTTCCTAAAAGTATCAAATTGAGACCAAAAATTGCATCAAATCTTTGCAACGTTTTGATGCACATAAGTTATATCAAAAAGAGATCGTTTTGTGTATCATTTTTAGAAATGATACACGAAACGGTCTCATTTTTTGATGCAAAAAATTTAATCAATTTATATCAATCATGGCCGAATTGAATCGAGTCAAAATTAAACGAATTTTTTTCAGATATTTTGGTAATAGTACAATTGCGGAGACCATTTCACTATTTAATTTGAAAATGAAAATAACAGAAAATCAAAGACAATGTGCAATTCGATAATTAAAAAGTGACAGCTTATAAACATAACCTAAAATGCATGAGAAAAAATTTGTCGATAAAATCAATATAGCCGAGCTTTTTAGAAGGTAGATGGCAGCACTCATCTATTTTCTTTCTTTAAATTTTTTCTGAATCACAGAAAAAACTGGGTGTTGTTTTGACATTAAATTCGGTGTTAAAAATGTATGCAACAAATTTTATCCTGTTGGTATCATTTTGACACCAAAATTGGAGAAATTTTAATTTTACCTACTCTAAATGAAAAAATTTTCGCTTATTTAAGAGAAAATCAAATGTTTAATCTGAATTCAGGTTGCAATAATTTTATGGTTAGAACTATGTTGTTGAATGCAATTAAATATAAACAAAAGTTTATAATAAAATAGTTTTCACTCTTAGATTTCACATAATTTCAATTGCGATTAACAAACTTTATTTTTGTTATTATTTAATATAATTAATTTATTGAATATTTATAATGTTATAAAAATAAATAATAAATAATCGTTTTTATAAAAAGCAAAACTGCCATCTACCTTCTAAAAAGCTCGGCTATATTGATTTTATCGACAAATTTTTTCTCATGCATTTTAGGTTATGTTTATAAGCTGTCACTTTTTAATTATCGAATTGCACATTGTCTTTGATTTTCTGTTATTTTCATTTTCAAATTAAATAGTGAAATGGTCTCCGCAATTGTACTATTACCAAAATATCTGAAAAAAATTCGTTTAATTTTGAGTCGATTCAATTCGGCCATGATTGATATAAATTGATTAAATTTTTTGCATCAAAAAATGAGACCGTTTCGTGTATCATTTCTAAAAATGATACACAAAACGATCTCTTTTTGATATAACTTATGTGCATCAAAACGTTGCAATAGAAAAAGATACAACCAAGTTTACTGCGCACTGATAAATTAGTGAAAATTCACTGATTTTTCAGCGTATATACGCCTATTTGGTAACAGTGTCATACTTATCGCTGATTCAAATTTAGATAGCACTATACTACAAAAAAGTAGTAAATAATAATTTTCGATAGACATTTTGGTTTATAATTTTTAATTCTTGTCGATGCTATAACGTAAAATATTTATACAATTCGCTCTCTCTACTTAAAAAGAAAAGAAAAAAAAATAAAAAACATTTTGAATGAAGGTAAATTTATAACTCAGGGGACTATATTAAGAGTGACTTGTCTTATAAGTGGGCGTATGCAAATAAGGAAGCATTCTTGTAAATAATCTGCAATACATTTTGTGAGACGCTTTACATAACATACACGCAGAAACTACTTACTTTGTAGCTCAGGGATTATCTGTCTAATTGCAGAATATGTGTGTGTGGAGAACCTGCTTTTGTACATAGGAAATCCGGTAAAATAACAGGGATCTACACAAAATGTCTTGGGGTTCCCCCTTGCCTAATTCCCATAATCCCAGAGCAGTCAGTTGGAACTTTTCTTTTTGAGCCCGAGATTTTAGTAACGGCTTCGTTTCAACACAAAAGATTTGTTCAACTTAAGAATTCAAACAAGAAAAATAATTTTACGCATTTTTTTTTTTAAATATGTTTAATTTTGAAATTGAAAAATTACTCAAAATAAAAACGAAATATTTTTGTAAAAAGAAAGAAAGATTACATTAGAAAATGATATTTATTTCGACCAATGAAACTCGAAATAACGAAAAAAGAAATAAAAAAAAAAAAAAAAATATATATTTTTCTCGAAGAATAAAGTTCCGCGCATGCAATCGGACAATTTTCCAATTCAATTACATTTCCAATCTTTTTCGTTTGAAGAACCTCTTTTCTTTTACCGGGTTTATTTTTCTTAGATAAAATATTCTAAGATTATACATGCAATTTACTATATATTATAACAAAAAAATAATTTGCAAAAATAAAATCAAATTAATAAATAAAAAAAATAAATAATACTAATATACTCTCAGCGTATATATTATACACATTCCGTAAAGTATTTTTTCAACTTCATGCGTTTTGTCAACTAAAATCTAAAGAAAAATTTTTTGCAGCTTCTCTGGAAGCAATTCTAGTGGGATGCATTTTTATGAAAAATTCCTTTAAATGTAAATTCTAATTGCAAATTAACAAGCAGTTGCCATCATAAAGTACTGCTTTAGATTATCATAATACATAGGGTGGGGGGGGGGGGTGAATTATTTACAACCTGAAAAAAATTTTTTTTTTTTTATTATAAAATATTCATTTGTTTGCAAAT